GATTGTACAGTGTATAGAAGTGGACCCATTCATGAACTAAAGACAACCTTGCTGACCCCAATACTAGGAGAGGACTATATTAAGCCGATTGTACAGTGTATAAAAGTGGACCCATTCATGAACTAAAGACAACCTTGCTGACCCCAATACTAGGAGAGGACTATATTAAGCTGATCACACAGTGTATAAAATTGACACTGACATAAATATTTAAGTTATGGAAACATAATAGTTTTTATTTAATCATACATAACATCGTAAAAACTCAATCTTATTGTATTATCAATCAGAATAGAGGGAAGTTATAATTTTAATGTACAGTCAATCTGAGCAGACAGGAGATAACAGAAAGTATACTTAAACTGAACAGTAGGGAAAATTAGGAGGCATTATTAACTAAATGTGCACGAGGTCAATCTCGTGTTTTAATAATATGTTTCTGAATATGGACTAAAGAATCCTTCATTCAGTAGCTGTCAACAAGCTGCAGTAATCCAAATGTTTATATCTACATATTGGTGAGTATTTTAATATTCCCCACCAAGAAATTTTATTTTGAGTAAAGAAAGATAACACAATACAAACTTATACTAAGTTTGTGAATATTTCTGTTTATTGATTATGTTTACACCAAGAAAGAAGCATCACATCCATGGACATAAATATCTGTACATATTACAAAACCTCATAATCTTTGGGAAAGTGTTGAACTTTAGCTTCCAGTCTGCAAGTGAAGTAGCTTGATCGATTTAGAGATCTGAGGAGCTGTGTTCAGGTTACTGGTAATTCCTATGAGAAATGCTTTCTGTAGAACTACAGTAGCATACTCTGTAGGGGAAAAAAAACTAGTTAACTCTTCACTGTACCTGTAAATTCTATTACTGACTAGACTGTATACAGATATTTGACTAGAATGTAACCAAAACATCTATTGACAAACTAGATACAGATATTTGACTAGAATGTAACCAAAACATCTATCACAAACTATATATACATATATTTGACTAGAATGTAACCAAAACATCTATGACAAACTACATACAGATATTTGACTAGAATGTAGCCAAAAGATCTGTGACAAACTATATATACAGATATTTGACTAGAATGTAACCAAAACATCTATGACAAACTACATACAGATATTTGACTAGAATGTAACCAAAAGATCTGTGACAAACTATATATACAGATATTTGACTAGAATGTAACCAAAACATATATGACAAACTACATACAGATATTTGACTAGAATGTAACCAAAACATCTGTGACAAACTATATATACAGATATTTGACTAGAATGTAACCAAAACATCTGTGACAAACTATATATACAGATATTTGACTAGAATGTAACCAAAACATCTATGACAAACTATATATATAGATATTTGACTAG